CGGGAGTTGTAAGTCTATTTCTTTCACCAGGTGTAAGGGAAGTTTCCTGTCATTATTTCTTCAGATAGGTTTTTAACTTCTTGCTCTCTCTCTTCTCTTTTGGGAAGCCCTATGTGGATGTTGGTTGGCTTGAAGTTGTCCCAGAGGCTCCTTACACTATCTTCATATTTTTGGATTCTTTTTTCATTTTGCTTTTCTGGTTGGGTGTTTTTTGCTTCTTTATATTTCAAATCTTTGACTTGATTCTTGCGATCCTCTAGTCTGCTGTTGGGAGTCTGTATAATATCCTCTATTTCAGTCAGTGTATGCTTAATTTCTAGTTGGTCCTTTATCATAACCTCGAGGGTCTGACTAGATTTCTTGAGGATCTCACAACATTTATCGGCAGTCTCACCAGTCTTTTAAAGGGTCTTACTAAATTTATCGGCGGCTTCTAGGAAGTTCTTGAAAAACCTTAATAGTGTGGTTTTGAACTCTATATCCAGTAGTTTGGTTTCCTCCATTTCTGTCATTTGTGTCCTGTTTCTTTCTCTCTGCATTTTTTAATGCTTCCCTATGTTGATAAAGTGGTTTTCTGTGCTAAGTGTCCTCTAGGGCCCAGTGGTTCAGCCTCCCCAGTTACCTGAGGAGGCAACTCTTGGTGCACCCCTTTATGGGCTTTGTGCACAGTCTTGTTGTAGTTAAGCCTTGATTGTTGTAGGTATCACTGGGAGGAATTGACCTCCAGGCCAATTGGCTATGAGAATCAGCTGTGTCTGCAGTGGGAGAACTTCTGTGCTGGAGACACCCCTCCGGGCCAAGACTTGCTTCAATGGGCTTTGGTGCTCACTGAGTCTGCCCCCTGAGTGTGTCCTTTAAGGGTCCGAGAAAGTGCAAACTGGATGGTCCCACTCTGACCACTGGGTACACTCGCTCCTGGTTCTCTAGGGAGGTGCTAATCTAGCCTTTTCCTGAGGCTATCCAGCAAAAGCCTCCCTGCAGGGCTTGGGTGGGGCGGGTCTCATGGGATCAACAGGGCAGGGCTAGCAGTTATGGCTGCTCTCAGTCCTGCCCTCAGAGGCTCCGCTTCTCAATGTCCTCGTAATGGCTGCAAGTACCTCCGAGAGAAAGCTGCCCTCGAGTTCCAACCGCTGCCAGACAGTCCTGCTTCTTCCGTATGAGTCTGGGTTCCCGAAGACTCACCGGGAACTGGAGCTCAGAGCCTGAAACTCCCTCCCAATTGCAAAAGACAACCGTGCCCTCAGCGCCAGCCCGCTCCACATGCGCCTCTGTACCTCTGTATTTTACTTCCACACTGCACCTCCTCTGAGTCTCGGTAAGCTTTTCTCTTTCCTTCTAGTTGTAGAATTTCCACTCAGCCAGCCTTCCTGTGCTTCTGGATGATGTCCCGTCTTTTAGTTGTATTTTTGAAGTTGTTGTGCGAGGCAGCAAATACCAGAGTTTTGGTGCCATCTTGGTTTGTCCTCCACCTCTGTTTTTGTTAATCCAATGCTACACAATAGGAAAATGCTCTTGGCAGTTTTGTGTACATCTTTTTCTGAAGTTATTTTACATATATGCATATAGCTAATGTAAATTCTCACACTCATTTCATGAAAATGAAGTCTAGTATCAGACTGGACATATTGTTCTTTACCTTTTTCATTTGCCTGTAAATCATGGACTTATTTACTGCTATTCCATACAAATGTGTAACATTCTTTTTAAGAGTTGCATAAGATTCTTTACTTTGTGTGTACTGTAGTTTATTCAAGTAAGCAATATTGGTTGATAGCTAAGCTTTTTAACTTACTTTTTCTATTTATAAGTAAGACTGTACTAAACATTTTAAAATAAGTTCTTTACATTCACACATTTCCATAATCTTGCTCTTATTGTAATGGGCCAGACTGCTGGGGATTAAGGTTCCTGGGTCTAACGCTAGGCACATATTACATACTTGACAAATGGCTTTCAAAATTTTATTTATTTATTTATTTATTTGACCATCACCGTATATCCCCCACTTTGCCCTCTTCCACCTCCACCCACCTTCCCTGCCCCAGGAGCTTCCAAAATATTGAACAGCCTTACACTTTGATTAACAGTGTATGAGAGTTCTAGATTTTCCATATCATCTCCAGCTTCAGAAGTGTTCCAACTTTTAAAATGTTTGGTAAAAAAATTCTACATAGCTGCTTCAATTTTCATAGATATATTAGTCATTGGCATTTTTTGTAAATTATGTATTCGCATACTTCCGTCATCTTTTGTAGGAATATTTTTCTTTGTAGAGCTAATTTCTATGTCTCTTGTGTATTGGGAATATTAACACTTGGCTTTTTATTTATGCTGCAAATATTTTTTCCTGGGCTTTTCTTTCTTATTTGTCATACAAGTTTTTCATTTTTGAGTAGTCCATCTGGTTAACTTTTTCTTTAATGGTTTCTGGATTTCAAATTGTTTAGGTTTTCAAAGCCCGGATATATAAACATATTTTCCATACTGTGTCTTAATTTCTTTAGTCCTCTGATATTAATAATTTTTTTGCAATGAGATGCTTTTTATATAGAATAAAAAACTAACTTATTATTTTTCTGATTGGAGAGTCCATTGTCCTATCATAATTTAATACAAAATCCATTCTTCATCCATTGAATTGAAATGCATCTTTATAATATTTGAAACTTCCATATTTATTTACATCTGCCCTTGCACTTCTAGTTTTGTCCCACTGATTTATTTACCTATTCATGTGCCAGTCTCATACTTTGATTAGAGTCACTTTGCAGTAAGTTTTAAAATTTGGTAAGACATGCCTCATACTCACTTTCTTTTTTTTCTGATAGGCGTGAGAGTTTGAAAATACTCACAAGGACTATACTTTTACTCTCTGTTTTGTGCTTTATGTTTTTGACATTATATTTCAGTTCTTTTTGTTTTGTGTATCTGCTTAGCAATTATTATAGTGGTAGTTAAGTTTGCTACTTTTGTCTCATGACCTTCATAGTCGTTTTTAAAAGGCTGATGTGTTTTGTTTATTAAATATTTGCCTTTATATAAGATTTATATAAGATTTTTCCCTTTACATATTTTTATTTCTGATTATGGGTTTTTCTTTTTTGCTTAAAGAAGACTTTAATATTTATTGTAAATCTGGCTCACTGGTGATGAACTTCTTTAGTTTTTGCACATTCAGGAAACACTTTATTTCTCCTTCAATTCTGAACTATAACCTTGCTGAGTAGAGTATTCTAGGTTGTATATTCCTTTCTTTCAGCACTTTAAATATGTCTTACCAATCCCTTCTGGCCAGAAAGTTGCTGCTGAAAAATCAGCTGATACCCTTAGGGGGTTCTCCTTGTATGTGACATGTGACTAGTTGTTTTCTTCTTGCTACCTTCAAGATAGTTTCTTTATCTTTTTTTAAAAAAAAACTTGGTGTGTTGTTGACAGTATTACTGATGCCCCAAATCTCCCCCCTCCCTGCTCACCTCTTCCCAGCACCCCCCGCCCCCAGCCTTCACCACATTCGTTTCTTTATCTTTAACTTTTCTGTTTTAATTACAATATGTCTTGGTGTGGGTCTTGGGGTTCATCTTGTTTGGAACTCTCTGTCCATCTTGGACCTGGATGTCTATTTCCTCTTCCAGGTTAGGCAAGTTTTCACAATTACTTCCTGAGATAAACTTCTTATTCACTTTTCTCTCTTCTTCTTGGATTCATATAACATGAATGTTGGTGTGCTTGATGTTGTCCCAGAGGTCCCTTAAATTCTCCTCATTTAAAAAAATATTTTTTCTAGGGGGTGAGGGCATGTGCTGGGTGGGGGAGCAGGCGCAAGTGGGGAGAGGTCAGTTGGGGTGGGGGGAAAGGAGACATATTTAATACTTTCAACAATAAAGAATTTAAAAAGGATTAGTTTTTCTTTGTGTTGCTGTAATTGGTTGATTGCCAGTTATCTGACTTCCAGTTCATGGATTTATTCTCCTGTATTATCTAATTTTCTGTTTATTCCTCCTGGTTTATTTTTTATTTTTGTTATTATATTGTTAAGCTCTGCTTGGTTCTTTATTATACTTTCCAACTCTTATTTATATATTGTTAAGCTCTGCTTGGTTCTTTATTAGACTTTCCAACTCTTGGTTCTTTATTATACTTTCCAACTTCCAATTCAGGAAGTTTAAGTTCTTCCTGAATTCCTCTATTCTACTCTCCTGTTTGGTGAGCATCCTTTTGACCATTACTTTGAATTCTTTATCAGGA